TTTTCCACACATTGTGAATACTCACCAACTCAAAATCCCAAAGCTAAAATGAATATTTTGATAACCAAGAATACACTACATCAACTCAATCTGGCAGGAAAAAACTGTAATCCTGCATTCAAAACTATAATCTTTATCAACCAAACAAAGCTATGAGATTGAAACTACCATCGTGGGTGATGGTATAACACCTGTAAACTCAGCACTGGGAGGCTGAGGTAGGATGTTCTTCAGTTCAACATAAGCCTCAGCCACATAGTAAGTCCCTGTTTCAAATAACCAAAAATAAGTAAATGATAAATAAATAAATAGAATAAGCTGAAACGACACACAAGTTTTTCTGTAGAAATTTCATAGGAAATGAAAGGTGTGAAAGCATGGTGTAAAAGCATGAAAGGTTTTAAAGCAGGAAGGAGAATGACTGGTATATATTGTAGACTTATTGAATAATTATTGATGCAATTACAAAGCTAAAATAATAAACCAAATAATGTGGTTTAATCTCTAATGGTAAAATTAAATTAAATCATCAAGATTCATCTTCATATGAGAATTTCAGGGAACAAGTTTCTTACCAGCTTCCTCAAATATCAACAATGTGAGTGAACTTGTTATTGATTTACTTCTTTCTTTCAAAACCAGACAAATTTCAAAGCAGAAGAAAGTATCTATTTCAAAAAAATGAACACAGGCTATAGAATATTTACATATTATATTTTCCAAAAATATTTCTTAGGTACTTAATTTATGCAAGATTTTGTTTTCAGGTCCCCATGGTACAGTGATGTGCTGAACAAAGTATTTTCCACTGTAGGTTTCTACTGTAGCGGGAAGATTGATGAACAAGTATCTAAAATACTCAGTTATTAAGCATGGTTTGTGATTGTGGAGAAAAACTGTTTCTGGCCAAGGGAATATCAGGTGCCCAAATGTTGATAGTAGAACACAATCACCATGTTTTAGAAACTACTAGAATGTGATATGGCTAAACTGTGGAGATCCCACACAGAGTGCAGGGATGATCTTGCAATGGAAAACAAAGGATGGAGAAACAATGAAACAAAAGCTGTCACTCTAGAGTTTTGATCTGGTATGAATCAGATTAGTGAACCTAGAAAAGTCACCATAATTTGGGCAATTTTTCATGGCTTCTCAGTTCATTATTATGTCAAAATAATTCTACTGAAGTTGAACACACTTATCCAGAAATGTTGATTACTCCATGATATAAGGGGAATATGGAAACAATAAAGCCCTATCTTCACCCTTTCTTTTGCACAACAAATGAAACCAGTTAAAGAAACTCAATCAATCTCAGCGAAGCAAGGTGGCTCATGCTGTGATTGCATCTACTCATAGGTGTAGGTAATAAAGGTTGCCATTTGAGGCCAACCAGGCAAAAAGTTACCAAGATCCCATCAGGATCAATAAACTGGTTGTAGCGGTCTGTACCTGTGGTCCCAGCTATGTGGGAGATATAGGTAAGAAAATCTCAAGTCTTTTGCTGGCTCAGGCAAAATCATGAAACCCTACTTGGAAAATAAAGCAAACCAGGACTGGAGGCGTGGTTCAAGTGGTAAAGCGCCTGCCCAGCAAGCCTAAGGCCCTGAGTTAAAACCTCAGTACTGCAAAAAAACATTACTCTCTACTAACTGGTAAGTTACCCGTGTGTGTGTGTGTGTGTGTGTGTGTGTGTGTGTGTGTGCATATGCACATTAATGTGTATCATACTTCATATATTCATGGACCACAATTCATGACAGTTTATAAAAAGATGGAACATTAAGGCAATTGTAATAGATGTGTTTCCTACTTTAAATACATACTGTATACTGAAATAATCTATTTAATGTATGAAATACATAGTCCACACATATGAAATTCTGTCCTGTTTATCATTTACACAATTACATTGTGATTTTTAAGGTTTCCTGTATCTTCTGCTTCAAAATTATATGTTCATGGAAAAGAAATTTGATTCTGTGTCCTCAGCCTTATAGTTTCAACACGTTTATGGTTCAAAATTTATTTAATATAAAACTAAGGAGAAACTATAAATTCATTGCTACTATATAAACACATAAATCTATCCCTTTTATCCACACAATGAATTGCCAATGTATTTTTTATTTCTCGTCTAGTTCAAAGGGAATAGAACTTAAAGTACACGAATACCACATTTTCTTAGTCATTCGCTAGAGAACATCATCCTAGGCAAGGTAGATGGGCTTTGAAGGACAAAAATCTCAGGTTCTCCCTCATATGCAGATTATAGACCTGAAACAAATGCAGAAATATTATGGGACACTAAGGGGATACATGCATAGGAAGAATAGGTACAGGGAAGAAAACCTAAAACTCGAATGTGGTTGATATGCTCACTGTATTGGAGTGAATACAGTAATGTTAAACTGACAGAGGCCACTATGGGAAGGTGACCGGAAGTAGTGAAGACGTCTGGTAGAGATGAATCATTTCGGGTTGTAACACACATGTGCATGGAAGCAATGCTAGCAATCTCTCTGTATAGCTATCTTTAGCTCAAACTGGCAAAAACGCTGTTTTTCTTATTATCTCATGTTTTCTCCTCAACAAAATTAGAGAACAAAAGGGTGGAACAGGTTCTGCCCAGAAGCTGGGAGCAGGGGTAGCCCAAATGATGTATACACATGTAAGTAAATGTAAAAACAATAAAATGAAAGAAATAAACTATATGAAAGTAGATATACTTTTCATAAAAGCTGTTTGTAATAATTTTCAAAAATTTAGTTGCTACCTGTCATTAAAAGTCAAATATAGAGATTGACACTAATAATTCAAAAGAGCAAAAATATTTTAAATGGGCAAAATAATATTTCAAATATTAGGAGAACTTTAGCCAGCAATGCCATACCAAAGGCAGAGCTCTATATTTGTGGTGTTTCAAAACCAGGAATTCAAATCAATAGGTCTCCCACTGGAGCATGGATTCTAAATTTTTGTGATAATCTTAGTTGATTATTCTCTAAAGTGAGATCCTTTGGGACTGAGGCACTAATAAAACCATGTACCCAGCTGACATAATGCACCCATTATGAGGAAACACAGGCATATTCTACTTGGGTAGGTTAAAAGAGTTATATATAAATCTGGTGGATTTTGATGTGTTGATGGGTAATTGAATCACTAAAGGATTTCAAGATAAGACTTTTAGATTAAGTAGATTAATACAGTGGCTTAGAATAAAAACAACTTTATTTTATAAAATATAGATAATCAGTATTTCCTGTGGTTTTGTTTTATAATATATATATATATACACACAGAGAGAGAGAGAGATCATAATGCATATGTAAGCATAGGATGAAACTATTTGTAAGCAGATTGAATCAAATAAAAGTCCCATTTGAGAACCTGTGAGAGGTTAATAAAAATCAAGATCGTGATTGACCAGATTGTATTTGTAATCTATATCTGAATTGCTATTTCCTTCTGTAGTAACTGGAGATTTTACCCAGGATTAGTGAGGAATACATTACATAAATATTGTTAATATTTCCCTAAAGATATTTGCCAAGAATATAATTTAAGAGTAAGGAGAATAAATATTAAATATCATTGTTAAGTTCATTTTTAATTTCTCAATACTTAATATCTAGAAGATTCTAAATTAGGAAATTAATGAAAACATCATGGCTCTTAAACACAAAGAGGTTAAGCCTGATAAGAGGAACAGGTATAGAAACAGGTGATTATGATGAGAGAGAATATGTCTAAACTGTATCATACAACAAATATGAAAGATGTTAACATGGGAAGGAAAATCAAGTAGCTCTTCATAAGACAGATGAAACTTCAATATACTTTGAGAGATAAATAGTAATTTCTGTCTTCAATGTCCATTTTGTCTTGTAGAGAAAAGTACAAAAAATGTCCAGAACAAAAGAGCACCACAGAAAGCCATGTTGCTGTTGACAAAGGGAGACCTATCATGTTAAGAGATTGATCATACTGGATCAAGAGGTGGTAGTGGTGCTTGGAGGAACTGAATAGAATGAAGACCATAAAAATATTCAAGGCAACATTGTGAAGGTCACATTCACTTTGAAAGAGAAGGTGTGCACTATATTCATACAAATTAAAATGCTCATTATAAACAACTTTCAGTGGTTTGTGTTTTAAAAGTGGAGAAATACAAATAAGATGGAAAGATATCCTTGGTTACAGATCAGAGTGGGAGATATCCTTGTTTATAGACTTTATCTTTCTACTAGTGTTTATGAAAATGTTCTGATGTATAGTAGATGAGGATATAGATTTTAAAATTTGCTTGCATCTAATAGTGGACCATGAATTCAGTTTTTAGTATCCTGACCAGCATTGTATGGAATAAGTAGAATAGAATATATTGTAGAAGAGCACCAAACAGCACATAATTACAGCAAATACGAAGATTATGCTACATATGTTCATTAGTTCTATTCAGTCTTGTATTAAGTGTTTAATTCTGTAAGTTTGTGGTCTAAAGGTTTGTATCTGACCATATTGTAGAGAATGATTTTGGTCTGAATAACCCAATAATCAAAGATTTTATTTTGATTTTACCTCCATTTTCCTCCCTTATGTTTTGGTTCACAATGGCATTTTTTGCTCTTCATTTTTATTAGTGTGTATTAATTGTACAAAGGGGTTTCACCATGGTGTTACATTTTACTTTACGTATCTATCACATATTAATTAGATTAAAACCCTCTATTGCTCTCTTTTCCCCTTTGAACAGAAGCTCAGGCAATGTAGTCTGTTTCAAATTCTAGCTTTGTGCAAGTAATGGATTTAGGGAAGAGAAATATTTTGTTTACACAATTATCTCTTTCTGATGTTCACTCCATTACACTAATAATCTCTAAATATCATCTCCATAAAATAATAAATTATAAAACCAACACAGGAATTACATTATAACTGTACCACTTGGAGTTCATTCTTTTGTCTAAGTTCTCATCTAGGTGTCCTGAAGACACATGGCTGAGATAAATCTCACCCAGGTAAAGGAGTTCATTCTTGTGGGCCTCACGATCGTCAGGAGTTGAAGATACCTCTCTTTCTGGTATTCTTATCCATCTACCTCTTCACAGTTGTAGGCAATCTAGGTTTGATCCTGGTCATTAGAATAGATGAAAGACTCAACACCCCAATGTACTTCTTCCTTAGCAACCTGGCTTTTGTGGATTTCTGTTATGCTTCTGTCATTACACCCAAGATGCTTGGGAATTTCTTGTATGAACAAAACATTAATCCTTCAATGCATGTGCTGCTCAGTTAGGCTGCTTTCTTACCTTCATGATATCAGAGTGTTTGCTACTGGCTTCCATGGCCTATGATAGATATGCAGCCATTTATAACCCTCTGCTGTATATGGTCACAATGTCCCCAGGAGTCTGCATTCAGCTTTTAGCTGTACCTTATAGCTATAGCTTCCTGATGGCATTATTTCATACTATCCTTACCTTTCGTCTCTCCTATTGCCATTCCAGTGTCATCAATCATTTCTACTGTGATGACATGCCTCTCCTCAGACTAACTTGCTCAGACACTTGCTTGAAACAGCTGTGGGTTTTGACCTGTGCAGGTATCACATTCATTTCTTCAGTTCTGATTGTCTTTGTTTCCTACATGTTCATTATTTCTGCCATCCTGAGGATATGCTCAGCTGAGGGAAGATACAAGGCTTTCTCCACCTGTAGCTCCCACATGCTGGCAGTCACCATATTCTATGGGACCCTGATCTTTATGTACTTACAACCAAGCTCTAGCCATTCCCTTGACATGGATAAGTTGGCCTCTGTCTTCTACACAGTGATTATCCCCATGTTGAACCCCTTGATCTATAGCCTCAGGAACAAGGATGTGAAAGATGCTCTGAAAAAAGCCATTAACAGTAGAAACCAGGCCTTTCTGCTCATGAAAGTAAGAAAAAGACTTCCATAAACACAAGAAGATTTCCCTCCGTAATCTGTTTATCCCATTAATAAAACTAGTACAGTGCCTTATGTCTTAGTCGATAATCAATAAGGATCTGTTTACTATAAAATGAAATCATTTCTGTATTATTTATAAGAAAGTTTGAATTAGGATTATATTTCATATGAAAGGGGTAGTAAGAATTTACATAAAGTTTTATTTCCCACATAGATCTTTTTCAAAATTTATCTCATATGATGACTATACATCTATATACTGGCAAAGAATAGAGGAAAAACAAAGGTACCCTTAATACCCAGACTAAGATTATAAGAGTATTTTAATAATATATTCAAGTTAAATTTAAATAATACATCCAAAATTAAATTTAGTGTTATTTTCCAGTTAAATTATAGACAATTGCAAACCAGGGGTTTCAAATGGGGGATAACTTTTCTACCAGAGGATATTAGGCAATGCTTGGAGTTATTATTGACTTTCATGATAAGAACATGGGATGGAAAAAAATACTATTGGTGTCTAGTGGGTGAGGCTAGGTATGCTGAAAATAACCTACAATTCATAGAACTTTCTTTCACACAAAAGTAGTTTTCCAGTTCAAAGTGACAATAATGTCAACCCTGAAAAGTATGCTTTGAACAATCATTTCCTTAACAATTATTATTTGGGTCAAACTGGTTGATACTGATGCTTGCATCTTCTATAGCATCCATTGTTGGTTTCTCTAATTTGTTCTGTTAAATGTTAAGATTGGCACTAAAATCCTGAGCTAAATTATGTTTTTACTTTTCTTATCTGTCGATTTTTATTTCATGTATTCTGGGGCTTCTTTGTACATAAATAATAATTACTTACCTATGTTATTTCCTGTTTTCATTACTAAATGCCTCTGTTTTCTGGTGGGCTTTATTATCTCAAGTATCTTTGTATGAATTTAATAAAACCATATCCGCTGTCTATTGGATATTATTTGCACAAATTGTAGTCTATCATTTACTTGCAAAATGTTTGTGACATTCAGTATAACTTGTGCCTCTTTTAAACAGCCAATTTGGGGATTTAGGATTTAGGATTTTTAATTATTTGTTGGTGTCTCTGACTTTTGATTGGAGTATTTAGTCCATTAATATTTCATATAATTATTGGTATGGTTAATTTATGTCTGTCGTGTCCCTTTGTTTCTGATGTCAAGTTACTGCCTCCTTTTGTTCTAAAAATTTTTACTTAGATATTTTATGCCTGTATTGTTAAACAACACACACACATAGACACACACACAGACACACAGACACACACACACACACACACACACACTGCCACTCCTGTTCAGGATTTGTTTCTTTTTGTTTTTGCTGCTATTTTTTTCCCTACTGATTTTCCCAAACTAATTCTGTAAAATCTGAATTCTTGCCATCATTTTGCTAGTTGACTATTGAATATCTCTTAAAGGCCCTTTTGGTGAAACATCAACACTTCTTCTAATTTTTGCAAGATATAGCAGCTTTTTTGAAAAAACTTTTTAGATTGTTTTCTAAACCTTGATTGTTCTGAAGGTGCTGGAATCATTTGTTTTCAAGTGTTTCCCATTGTTTTTTGACTCTATGAAGGGAGGCATTGATGGAAGCCCTCACTCCACTTTTCCAGAAGTCCCTCACATTTCTACTTTTCTTCATCAAAAATATCTGAACCATTTTCCATATTTCAATCACTTTATCTCTCATGATTGCATTGGTCTGTATCTTTTTATTACAAAAGATGCAAGAAAAGTTGTCACTAGTAGAAACGTTTTACTTCTTCCATTATTGCAATGTATGATTTCCTGTAAATTTACATTGTGACAAAGTTATAAAAGGTACTCTTTTATCCACGAGAGGTTATTAAAAATTTGCCACTGAAGATGACAAGTGGTCAGTATAACCTTTATCCATTGATATATTTGGTTTCTCTAGAGAAAGTCAACCAATAAGATATATAGATATATTTTGATGTGTGTATGTGTGCATACACACACATATATAAGAAAATTCCTTATAAAAATTGGCTCATGTGCTTGTGGAGGTCAAGTCATGTACTCCTCTCTGCAAGTGGAAGAAGCATGAATTCTGGTGGTTTAATTCAGTCCTGATAATCAGAAAAGCCAATAATGTAATTTCTAATTCAAGGATGAAAATCTGAGAAACAAGAGGGGCTTCAGGAGGAGTTCCTGGAGACCAAATATCTGAGAACCAGGAGCTTGGAATCAGAAGAATGACAACAGTGTATCCTATTGGTAGAAAATTTCGAGTCTAAAGTCTTGGGAACAGAGAGCAAGGTGTATGTTACAGCTCAAGAAAAAATAGACTCATATTTCCTTACATTTTTGGTTTTCTTGTTTGTTTGATTTGGCTTGACTTGGTTTGGGTTTTGGTTTATTGAGACTACATAGCCCAGGCTACCTAACTCACCATCCCCCTCCCTCAACCTCATGACCACTGGCATTACTACAGATGTGTGCCATCAATTCCAGTTTTCTTCCCCCTTTTGGTTCTATTTGAACCCTCAGTGAATAGGATGATGCTCTCCAACACCAGATGCTTTAATTCAGTCTACTGATTCAAGTGCTGAGCTCTTCTGGAAACATGCATACAGACACACAGAATAATGTTTTACCAGTTCACTGTATACCCCTTAACCCATTCATGTTCACATATGAAATTGTCCTGGCAAGGCCTGTAATCATACTTAGATCTGAGTGTTAACTTACTGCAAATTACCAATGGAGTCATGGAAGTCTTTGAGAAGTCTCTAAACCTTCTAAATCTGAATCTGCTATTGATAACTGAACATAATTATTTCAACAATCTCATTCAACGCTCCCCTGATCAACTTTAAAATTTCTACTTTTAACATGTTAAATTTCTTTAATATATTTCTTATTTGTTGATTTATTTAACAGGTTTGAAAGTGCTTACTTCCTCAACTTCCTAGGTATTAATAATAGCTTCTTTAAGTCTACATCTACTTATCTTTAATATGTACCTGTCATAGATACTTCCTACTGACTTCTTTTTCATATACCCACCCATTCAAATATGAGTCACTCTTTCTTGTTTTGTTTTTTGTGACTTACAGAAGGTTAATGAAAATTTGACACTATAGTTTCATTTTAGCAACTCTGAAATCTGATTTTCTTTTTGTTTTTCCTTTTGAGAATTTATGATGTGTGCCTTTTCTGCTTGACAGTATTTAAAGTACTTCTCTAATCTACTTTTTCTAATTTGATCAAATATTTCCTCATCTTAGTATTCTTTTTTTTCTTAGTATGGCTTTATAAGTGGTACCTTTTTGTCTGCTAAATTAATGGGCAGTCAATAAACAATGAGTTGGGATTCTGACACTATTTGAGTCCATAAAGCTTCTACCCTCTGTTGATGGTGTTTGTTTGATTTGGGAAGTATATTAAAATATTTATTAAGCTGGATAAAGATGGCTCATGCCTCTAATCCTAGCTACTCAGGAGGCAGAGATCAGGAAGATCATGGTTCAAGGCCATCTGGGCAAATAGTTCAGGAGACTAAATCTCAAAAAATACCAAACATAAAAAAGAAAGGGCTAATGGAGTGACTCAAGTGGTAAAGCACCTGCCTTGCAAGTGTGAGGCCATGGATTCAAGCCTCACACTGCCAAAATAAATAAACAACAAATAAATAAATGAAATATTGATTAACTATTGAGAATAAATGAAATATTGATTAAAGCTTGGAGTTACTTTCTGCCTTTGAATCTTCACCATGTGTATGTTATTAGATAGTTAGTGATATGTACAATGTTGGGACAGATATAAAAATCCTCAATGACCATCTCTTTTTTAAGTTCTATTTATTAAAATTTGGAGTATTTCTCCTATCTGTCACTTGCTCCAACTGGAACCATGCCCTCAGGACTTTCATTCACTTGTCATGGCATTCACAACTTTATATGTGTATACCCTCAAAATCAAAATCCAAGTGAAGAAGACTTGACCACAATTTTTCACGTATAGTTCATCCTTAATTAATTTGGTGATTGGGTACCATTTGTGTTAGCCCACTGACTTTATTCAAATAGAAAATCCCCTTTCCTATCTTTATAACTGAATGTCATTTTCAGCTTGGAGTAGAGTTAGGCTATGGAGCCTAACTTAGAAGATAAGGACACTAACTTCCTTCATGAAGACATTTTAAAGAGATGGTTAGTAGAATTATGGAGGGGTTTAATTCAACTATGATATATTATAAGAACTTTTGTAAATGTCAAAATATACCACCAGCACAATAATAATAATAAAAATAGATAAATATAATAAATAAATAAAAGGATGGTTAGCAAGTACTTGAGAAAGGTATTCTTGGGTCTTAAAGAAACTGTCAAAACATTGTTCTATTTAGCCTTTTAAAAGTTTGTGTACATTTGAACTAAATAGATATAGAAGGAAAACAATTTATAAATACAAGATTTCTGAAGTACCTGCTTTAAAAACTGAGTAGCATTGAGACAGGGAGGGTAAAAATATCTTCCCTTGTTTTTCTGTATTGCATTTGATTTATTTCATTTTTGTTTTTGAGACCATGTATAACTGTGCAGTCCAGTCCCACTTTGAACTCAGGATTCTCCTTCCTAAGCTTCTGAATTGCTGGGATCTCACATGTGTACTACCATGCATAGCTTTTCCTTTATTTTATTTTATTTTTTGTTTGTTTATTTATTCACATATGCATACATTGTTTGGGTCATTTCTCCACCCTGCCCCCTCCTTTATTTTAGAAAGAAAGAAATTAAGCTTCTTATTTTAATTTGTATTTTACTTACATAACTTTAATAAATAAAGCCTTTTCGGTTCTAAAATTTTCAGATTCAGCAGTAGAGAATGTAATGTAAAAAAAATGCACTTCACTTTAAAATAAACATAAATTAAATGAGTATACTAAGCCTTTCCCAGACATCTTCCAGTTCCTAGGTTAATGTTTCCAATTCCAGATTGACTCTAG